GTACGTACGCCACTGGCAGAGAAAATTAAGAAAATTGTACATCAGAAAATGCGCCTTGAGGCATGGAACATATGTACCAAATATGCCAAAGATGTCTACAAAATTATCTCAGTTATTATTAAAAAACTGATTATTTTTGAAAACTTTGCCACCCTGTATCTCAAAAGTTAAGGCGTTTAGGACATACGTCCATAGGAAGTTTTTTCTTAAAATGGGTCTAAGAATTACCTCCTTGAACATTAGCATGTGTTTAAGGAACACCCTGTATATGCATATGTAGTAATGTATTCAGGATACCAAATCATAATCATTTCAAGTAGGTGCCTAATCAAAAATTCAAAGTATTTCTCAAGAAATCGCAACACAATCATTTTTCCTATAATATCAAAAAATACTTAGAAGTTTCATTTGGAACATCTCGTATTTAATAAAACACTTAGTACGAACCTTTCCATACGCCATTTTGTTCAACTCACTCGTGAAATTAAAATATATATTGTAAAGCCATCACTGTTATAATGTGTGTAATGTCTCTACTGGAAATAGACATCTGTCTGATAATTTCGCATTTGAGAATATCAAGTACAAAGGATTTTTTTCAGCTAATAAAAAAATCCGTGTAGATGGCCTATTTTCAGCTCTGTTGAAATAACCATTTTTACTGGACTCATAACAGCTCATAAAATGGAATCAATAAATCAAATTCAATTTCAGAAAATGCACGTCTACAAAAAGACCCTCCAAGCTCTAATCTATCCCATCAGCAGCACGACCCCTCACAACTTCGTCTCGTGGACGGCGACCGCCCCCACTTACTGCTACGAGTGCGAGGGGCTTTTGTGGGGCATCGCCAGGCAGGGAATGAGATGCACCGAGTGCGGTGTCAAGTGCCACGAGAAGTGCAAAGATCTACTTAACGCCGATTGCTTGCAGAGTAAGTATCAAAAGCTTTTTTTCATCCCTCGGAAAATAGTCGCGGTTTGATATTATTCCATCACTGAATACGTAAGAGTTGCTTTATGGAAGGGATGAACGTGATTTGTTTTCCAGAGGAATCTCTTGTACAAAGCTCTGTTTTTGGTTGGTGAAAACTTCAGAGGATGTTTCAAATGTTACATAGTATTTCACTAATAGTGCAAAATTTGTATTAGGCAGGATTTGAAGACATAATTTGTTTTTGATTCTTTGATGTCAACGGCATCAACTACTCTTCCAAGTGTTCTGGATAGGCCATGTTAATAACTCCCCGAGCCACCTGAAGAGCATCATGACTATTCGGAGTCATGTAAGATTGAAGAATCATCCCAACTTCAAGTGGATAAATTCCCTATAAAATTATTCAGGATGATAATTTACCTGTTTGTTTATGATTGTCAATGTTATAAAATCATGTTCCACAAACTCATTATATCTGGGGAAAGTTGTATGAAATTCTTTAGATAAGAGTCCAGGTGGATGTTATTTTATATGGATTTTTGAATCAGGTCAGGTACCTTATGAAAACCTCAAAAACTAACAAAAACTTTCTAATAAAAATCTGATATATATATATTGATTCCAGTGGCGCATTTGCTTTTTCAGCTGCAGGAAAACCCGGAAAAACCTGCAGCACCACATCATCTGAAGATCTTGATCTGCCAATGTCCCCTCTCTCATAAAACAAAATGTTAGGTGTCTCCAGAGGCTCTAATAAATTCAATACATCGCCAGAACATTTAGGCACACGACCCTCGTCAAACTTAAACCAGTCCGTTTCGTCTTGACAATGGCGTAATAATGACCAGATTCAACGCCAGAACCACACAGAACAATGACTGCATGAATATTATAATAGTGGTCTGCTAGATAATATAATGTCATATTCTTTTTATATTTGTTGAAAGCTCAGTGATTGGATAATGAAAATTACTTCAGGTTTTTTGAGGGCCACTCTTTTTTTTTATCCGACATACAGGATGTTCCAATAACTGCGCACAATATGTATGAATAAGTGAGCGTTCGGCTTAATTGAAGCCTTATATTGTTTCGACTTAATTATCCACTCGTGTAAAAGAACTAGGGTTATACACGGTCAAAAAAATATAATTTTGATAAGTTATTCGAGATATTCATTCAGCTGTTTCTACACAACATTTTATTACTTGAAAATTATGTTCTACAAACTTAAATGGGTAGGGTCGGAAAAATACTAAACAATTCACACCACTATTATTGATAATTGGAGAATTATAAATAACAATTATCAATAATGTAATTTCCCAAATGCCCTTTGATACCTGTCTCTACCTACCAATACAAATTTTAGTATTTGAGGGGATATCATCGTATAGTTAGTTTATAACTCGCTGAAAAGTGTAAATTGTGAAGTATTATTTTCTCCGTGCCAATTCAATAGAGATGAATTTACACTGAAAGTTGTAAGATACATTCCAAATGAGAGGCTAAGTGATGGCTGTTATTGTGTTATATTATAAATAGATAAATTTACTAAACTTCTTTACATAAATATTTTGTGTCACTTTGTGCTACAATTTGTATGGATGAGCAGAACGCTTCAGACTGGATGAACCTGATACAATTGTTCCATTCTTATCTTTTCCATTGAAGTTTTCAACAATCATGTCTCTGGAATTGCAAATACTGCTTCTTAAAAGCTTGGGACATTGTTCCGAACCAGAAAACTGTACACACCTCAGCAACTTTTGATGCTTTATAAAGCTCAGATCAGACCTTCTTTGGAGTATTGTTCTCATGTAAGGAGCTCTGCCCCATAACATACCCTGAAGTTACTGGATTCCATTCAGAAAAGAGCCATCCGCCTGATTGGAGACGCGAACATGACGTGCAACCTTGGTAGCCTGGAACATCGAAGAAAGATTGAAGTATCTTCACCCGAAGACGATTGTGGATACCAACAATCGAAATGTCGTGACGTAACTTGATTTGGAATCTTTCAATTTTTATTTTTTTCATTTTTTGTTAATAATATTTTTTAATTTTCAGCTTTTATCAATATTTAATTTTTTTGGTTGTTGCTTGTATGTTATTTCTTTGTAATTTCAGTTTTTTTTTTTCTTTAATAAAATTGTTATTTTCGGTTAATCTGTTTAATTTTTATCGGGGATTTCAAATCAATTTATATTTATATTTACATGGAAATTAGAACTGATGAAAAAACATCAGAATAGTCCTTAAAAGGGAAATGCCACGTATCATAGGCGTACGTGACATATCATATACAACAAAGTAGATCCGCATGGAAAACAAAACTATTGACAGTCACAAACTCATTTTGAAATATATTCATCAACTGCAATCGACTGCGATATTCTAATGCGAAATGATAACTCAATTTACATCCGTTGTTTGGACAAACAAGTGCAAAATGTGAAAATTATCTTACATATAAGATAATTACAGATTAGATTTGGAATCAGTTTTCAGAATTATGTATATTTCAAATGGTAGGATAGTCTTCTCATGTGGAAATCCGTTTCATGTAAAGCAGTAGAAGTGTAGTTTCAAGGTCTCGAAGTGGAAACTGAATTTACCTACTCACAAGTATGAATATAAAGAAAAGTAAAAACGAAATGTTCATATTAGACAGAAGTGAAAAGGATATTACAAAAGGGCCAAACTTGTGCAAGATATGGGTTACCGAGACCTTACCTGTCAACGTGCGATTCCTAGTACGTTGCAAAAAGTTTCAATATCACATCCCGTTCCAACCGATTGCAAGTTTTGGAATTATCACCAGCATCTGTTTTAATTCAATTTCAGGCAAAAAAATCATTTCTCGAATAAATGAATGTAACGATCCTTCATCCGGTAAATAAGTAATGTCGAAAAACTTTATTGGCAATGTAAGGCATACATCATTTATAAAAGTCCGTTTGTGAATGTGACATGAAATAAACAAAGTCAGCAAGCAATCTGAGGGAATGGTAATGACGGTACTGATCTACTGATAACGAAATATCGGAATATTCAAACCATATAGAATAGTTGAAATGCTGTTTATGAATTTGGGCATTTGGCCAGCCTGGCAAGCAGCATGACAAGCAGTTTTTTTTATCGGAAATAATAACCGAATTCTAGAAAGATAATCATTCTCGTTCTATTAACCCACTGAATATAACAATATTTTGTTGAAACTCCCCACAAATTCTTTTGGTGAAGTTATTGAGTTCAGTTTGAAATGTATACTAACACAAACTATTTTTATTTAGTGAAATGTGAATGAGAAAATAGATTTCATATTAACGTAAATATTCAATATTATTCTTTTTATACATATTTTAAGCAATCTTATTCCCTGTAGTACTAGTTTGTACAGTTCCATTCGGACGATTGGACTTTGGTTTCATAACCATAAACCAATGATTCGTCACCAGTTATGACTCTCTCAAGCAAATCATTAGCGATGCTCCGGCCACGGTGTTTTTTGTCAAAATAGAGCAGTTTTGGCAATTCAGCTGCCACAGGCTTTTTGTGCAAAATTTCGGAAAAAAATGCATGGCATGAGCCAACCGACATGCCGATATCCTAAGCAACTTCTATAATAGTGATTAGACTATTCTTCATAACAACTTTCCTAACTTTCTTCACATTTTCATCGGTTGTTGATGTGCTGGGGTGTCCAAGGCGAGCATCGTCATTTACATCTTCGCGACCTTCTATGAAAAGCTTGTACCACTTGTAAAAATGTCCTTACTCAGAGTACAATCACCATACGCTACTGTCAACATTTCAAGTGGAAGCGGATTAACTGAATTAACTGAGTTTTTTTCATATTAAAAAACAAGTCTTGACTTTTGAAATAGTTTGAAACTACATCCAGAGTGTATTCGCATTTTCGTGTTAATTCATTCGTCGCTTTGGCAGATATCGTCAAACTAATATCATTTACATAGGCAGTAAGTGCAGAATATGTTATTTTTCTGTCTATATTATTGATATATGATAAAAAAAAGAGTGGCCCAAGTATAGATCCCTGGGTAACTCCCAACTTGACCGACCCCATTTCTGATGTTGGAAACGATTAAACATCATCTTTGTCAAATTTGAGTGAGACACTGCATTCTGTTGCTGCTAAAAGATGGGACCCATGAATGTGAATTTCTCCTTATTCCATAACGATCCAAAATGTTAAATAGCTTGGCATAGTCAACAGTCAAAAGCCCTGCTCAAGACATATAGAACTACAGCAGACACTCGCCTGAGTCGATTAATCTCATCAAGTCATCGTGGAAAGATAGTAGGACACTTTGAGTAGATTAACCACACCTGAAACCATACTGTATTGGAGTCAGTATACTGGGGGAGCCAATAAAATCATTCAGGCGTTCTAAAATGCATACTCAAAAATCTTCGAGAAAGTTGGAGGAATAGTAACTGGTCAGAAATTTTCTAATGTTGATAGATTTTTATTTTTTCTTTGCTACAATGGGAAGATACCGTTTGAAAATGATAGATTTACCAAAAAGATTAACGGTTCTATGATAGTTTTTAATATTTTTTTCACCAAGGAGACAGGTACCTCGTCGATTCATGAAGACCTTTTGTTACTCATTTTCCGACTGCCAAGATCAAACAGTTCGCTTCCAACGAATGGTTTCAGAAACAAAGTGTGTGGATAGAAATCGATGAAATTAGTCGGATCGTCTGCATACCATTTTTCGGAATTTTCTCCATCTCTGCTTGAGGGGCCTCAATAAAAACATTGAATAATTCAGCCAAAATATTTACTGGAACTTCTATAAACTCACCATCCTTTTTGATAATCATATCTCCTGATGTATGTTCAACTCCACTTGGGAGTTGAACGACATTCTACAAAACCCTTGAACTATTTTCAGACAATCGTATTCTCTCTTAGTAATAATGGTTTCTTTTAGTTTCTCTCACCAAATTTGTATCTTTTTCTTGTTATTT